CAGAGAAGGTCAATTGGCAAAAATGGGAATGGAGGTCCAAGGAAGTAGGAGGCTGCTGTGTCAAACAGGGCTAGTGGTTATAATTGTCCTAAGAAGAAGAGCTGATAAAAATCAAGTACTAAAGAGCCAACATCTACTGTACATGAAAAATTGGATAATAACACCATGAAATAAATGCTGGTAAAAAGTTTGGCTCCCCAGTGTAAACGGTAAAAGGGGCATATGTATTGGTTCTTTAGTTTCTTTCGAAGCAAACTCCGAATGTCATTTCCTCAGAGGGGCCTTCTCTGCTTACCTCATCTAAAATAGCACTCCCTCTCTTTCTAGCATTTATTGACCTAATTAACATTAACATGAGTCAGTTTCTATGAAGAAAGGACTTAGTCTTGCTCATGTAGAAGATATTTAGCACACAGTGGGCACCCAATAAATTACCAGATTAAAACAAGGGGAAACATTCTTTCATGAAATTAAAATAATTCTTTATCCACAGCAAAAAACCAAAAACTTAGAAGTAACTAATTTCCTGATAAATTCTAAAGTATTTTGAAGTTCTAAATTCACCTTTAAATTAAAATAGTTATTTCTGAACAAGGCAAGTTATATAGATAGTTCTTTATTACAGGTTAAGTTGATTCAGACACCAATGTTACAAATGTATCAATATTTTAAATTTTGTTATAGTGTTACAGTGGCCAAGCATTTTAAAAATTAGCATTTCTACTGGTGCCAGGTTTTACAAATAAAGCAAAAACTCAATAATGGAAGAAACAAAATCAGAGTAACATCAAAACACCAACACCATGATGTTTTGGGGCCACTGTCCTCTAAAATTTGTAAGCAGATACAAACCAAAACCACTGTGTACAACTGCATGGAAAGACTATTCATTAATTTCAATTTTTGACTTAAGCAATAGCTCCTTCTCTTGATTGTTTATCATTTGTATGGAATGCTGAAATCTAAAGATTTTCACAGACTGAGACAAAGTTGATTATTTTCCACATATTTTTTCTAAATTTGATGCAAATACTTCCAAATAGACCAACTGTTTTCACCGGAAAGAATATGAAGCAGATGACAAGCACAAGAAGTAGTTTGCTGGGTCACACAAAGGTCTCACCGTGGAGTTTTGTAAGATTCCAACCTGCACTCCCAAACACTTGAGACTTTGAGTATTAATGATCATTAATCTCCAAAGGGTCCTAATGCTACTTTATTTTTCTAGTCTGTTCACTTTCCTATATTCCTCAAATCTCCAACATCCCCATTCCCATCTTCTCTGTCAGCTGATGACCTGCATTCCTACTTTACTGAGAAAAGCAGGCAATCAGGAGAACTTGAACATCCACCCACTTAACCAGCATCAGTGCTCATATCCTCTTCCCATGTTCCTATTAACTTGGCCAAATTCTCTGTGTGTACTAGAAACCACTCCCTCTCACTTACCCAAGGCTATGACTCCAACAGTTCTCTCCCTCAGCAGTATTTCTACTCTCCACTGAACCATTCTCAAAAGCATACAAATATGTTATTATTTTTCCTAATGCCTGAAAACTCTTCTTTCCACGTTCTTCCCCATTTCAGTTAATGGCAATTCTGTCCTTCCAGTTGTTCAGGCCAAAAACTGTAGTATCACTTTTGATTTAACTTATACCTAACTTCCAAGCCATCAGCAAATCTTTTAGGTCCTTCCTTGAAAATATATCCAAAATCCAACTACTTCTCATTACTTCTGTTGCTACCAACCTGAACAGAATCACCCCTGTCTTTTGTCTGGACTCTTACATGTGTCACCCTGCTTCCATTCTTACTCCCCAACTTGACCCCTTTTGTTCTCAGCACAACAGCTAGAGGGATCCTACAAAACATACATCACTGAATGAATTAACGACTTATTCATCATTCTAAAAACATTTACAAGCCAGTTTTGGGTTCTATTTTTCAAAGGAAATCGAAAAGTTTTCTTCCTTAAATCTTCCTTGCTGTAAGGGAGAAAAAAGTTTAAGAAAATAATGGATCATCAAATGTATTTCCCTAAATACTTAACTCTCAATAAGGCCTTTTTCCTATCCAAGAGAGGATGGCCAAAACTAAGGGAGAAAGTCTCCATAATGCCAGGCCCTCAGGTAAAGCAAGGACATGTTTATTTGACCAACCTCTCCCTCCCATTAACTCAATTTTTTTTTTTTTTTTTTTTTTTTTTTTTTTGGATTTTTTTTTTTTAACCCAGCTGGAGTGCAGTGGTGCAATCTCGGCTCACTCCACCCGCCTCCGCCTCCCAGAGTGTTGGGATTACAGGCATGAGCCACTGCACCCGGCCTAACATTTTTTTTTTTTTTTTTTTTTTTTTTTAAGCTCTCTTGATCTCTTTCTTGCAACTAAAAACACCCCTTAATCACCATGTTTCTCCAGATTTGGGATTGTTCTGTTTGGTTCTGATTTGGTCACCTGAATTCCAAAATATAGGAAAGGTTGAATCACTGTTCCAGAGAGACTGCTCAAGTAACAGCAATTTTATTTTACTTTATTTTATTTTAATTAATTAATTTATTTATTTTTTGAGACAGAGTCTCGCTCTGTCACCCATGCTGGAGACACGATCTTGGCTCACTGCAAGTTCCACCTCCCAGGTACAAGCTATTCTCCTGCCTCAGCCTCCCAATAGCTGGGACTACAGGTGTGTACCACCATGCCCAGTTAATTTTTGTATTTTTAGTAGAGACCATGTTAGCCAGGCTGGTCTCGAACTCCTAAGCTCAGCTGATTCACCTGCCTCAGCCTCCCAAAGTGCTGGGATTATAGGCATGAGCCACCACGCCTGGCCTAATTTTTTTTTTCTTTCATTGAGATCCAATTATCTATCAGTATGGTGACTTGGACTTGAAACCACATGTCTGCTAAACGTAGAGTACTTACTAAGACAAAAAAAAATTTTTCACTGAGGCATATAACATTTCTTAAATTCTCAAATTCCTTTGTGTTTTTTGTGCCAGAGACCTTCCTATAAACTCCAAATAGTAAATTTTGAGAAGACTGTAGAAGATGAAAGAGATTAAAAAGAAAGATTAAGCCTGGTGTAGTGGGGGCATGGTCTATAGTCTTAGCTATTTGGGAGACTGAGGCAGGAGAATTGCTTGAGCCCAGGAGTTGGAGGCTGCAATAAGCAATGATCACACCACTCCACTCTAGCCTGGACACAGAGAGAGACCTTGCCTCAAAAATATTAACAAAAAATAAAATAAAAAGATTAAAACAGTATTTTAATAAGGCTGGTATTCATTCAATTTCAGGGATGTTTTAAATGTAAATAAACTCTAGAACCCTAGACTAATAAATTTACGAACTCGACTCCTTCCAAGTCTTCCCTATCTCTGTAAATGGCGACCGTATCCTTCCTTTGGCTCAGGCCAAAACCTTCAGAGTCATCCTTGACTGGCCTTTCTTCTCAGGTCCATTGCACTTGCTATTTCCTCTGCCTGGAATGCTCTTTCTCCAAATAACCACAGTGCCCCCACTTACCACTTGCAGATTTCTTCTCAAATATTCTTTCATCAGTGAGGCCTTTGCTGAACAACATTTAGAAGAGTAAATTGCCTCCAACATGGCCCCTCGTCTTCCCTGCTCAGACTCCACATTTCCTCTGATTTTACTTATTTACTAGTTTACTGCCCATCTCTCCCTCACCAGAACTCAAGCTCCACAAAGAGATTTTTGTGTTTTACTAACTGCTGAATCTCAAAGTAGAACAACATCTGACCCACAGTTGGGACTCAAATATTTGTATAATGAATAGGAATGACTAAGTAAAACTGTAACATTTGCTTCAGGAAAGGCAACCATTTGATCCTTAAATTATGCACTTAATCCTCCTCACAAGTTCTACAAGAACAAAAACATCTTTATGAAGCATACATTTAGGTGACAACATTTAGGCACAAATTTAAGAAGCAATGAAACATGTCTCAGCACCTGTTCAGCGCTTTAAAGTACACAAGATACAGTTCATCCTTTACTTCTATTAACATAAAACTAGAAATTATCTTGAAAATTGCAGGCAGCAGGTGGCATCACAGCTTTACATGATATCAGTTCCTTTTAAGTTCACTCCTACAACCAGGTTCCAACAATGAAGTCAGTGAATCCCCTATTATTTTCTGCTGCCAGCATAATGAGACTCTAACCTTGGCTAATCTTATTGGAAACATGATCTCCCAAGTGCTCTTTTAACATTTTCAATATCCAAACGAAAGTCCAATATTTTTCTGACCTATTAAAATATTTAAGCACTCAAAAATGTGCTACAAAAGAATCATCTGTCTGAAATACTGAGTTGATCAGTACTCATACTGCCACCAAACAAGTTCTCAGGTTCAAAGAGAAAGTTCGAAAAATATTAAAAGAGTAAATGAAAATAACTGTATTAACGTTAACCAACAATGAGGAGGGGGGTCACTGATATCTAAGGAAAGGAGAGTTATCGGAACCCTTTCTCAACACGAGTATACCAAGTCTGTACAAAGGTCGCAAGTTATTGTCTGTGGGTTTGCAGAAAAAAAAAAAAACATTTAATATCAATTATAGAGAAAGTTAATACGGCATGGTTTTTAAATTCTCAGTTTGCTTCGCATGTTCATCCAATTTACGGAAGCAAAAACTGAGCTAAAATCAGTCTGTTCCACTCCATTCCCATGATTCCTACGTCAGTAAGTTCTTGGGCAACTTGGTGCAATTGAGGGGGGAAAAGGTAATTCAGAAGCAACGCAAATGGAACGGACAGTAAACTCAGGTGACCTCTCACATTCTAACAATAGTGGTGTGAACTTGTACCCCGCTTGCTCAATCACAAGAACCGCAAGATTCTAGCAGTGGTTAAGTTTTTCCACAGCCGAAGGACACCGTCAAGGTCTGCCTTGCATCTGTCACTCACACCTCCAGGACCTCCGTCACCCCAATCCCCCGAAAGTAGGAGCCCTCGCTGGGCCCGGGTGCCCCCTCACCGTCACTGCATTTATACTGGCAGAGACCGTCCTCGCCTCCCAGGAGGTCCAAGGCAGCGTTCAGGTACGTGTCTATCTTATGAACGCCGTTCCGGATGGTCTTCAGGGTGGCCCTCCAGTCGGTGGTCTGGGCCTCCTCCTGGCACCTGACAACAGCGGCCATGAGGAGGAACAGGAGGGTGAGCGCGGGGCGCGGAAGCAGGGCCATCCGCGCAGCGCGGGGCTCTA